ACATTCCACCACCACCACCCGCCACTCGCCTATTCGCCTACTTCCCACCACCTCTCTCTCTCCCGCCCCCCCCCCCACCCCACCCCACCCCAACATGTCTGTAGATGGACTTGACGAGTACACGGCGGAGAGCATTGTGGAGCGGTACCGCGACGAAGGCGTGGTGACGCGACTGGCGTTTCTCGCAAGGGCACGGCAGAGGGCAGGCGAGGAGGAGGCTGGGAAGGAAGCCATGCGGCTGGCGGTGGAGGCGGTGAAGGGCAACTCGCTGGACGTGGAAGGGTACAAGGCGCGGGTGACGGAGATGCAGGAGATGGACATGTCGTACATGGCCGACTCGGAGTGGATGGCTCATGCCATGGCCGAGGGAGAGGCGCTCCTTGGTGAGCTCAACACGGACATGGCCCACTCGCGCGGCACGCTCAGCCGGGAGGCTGCTCGCACAAAGTGGACTGAGATTTCGCTGGCGTACATGCGGGTCGGTGCGTGGAAGTCGGCGCAGCGGGCAGCTATTCGCGCGCGTGACTATGCCGGATCAAGCCATCATCTCGCGCTGGCCAACGCCATCCTCCACATTGTCCGCTGTCTTTTTGCACTTGGCGAGGCCCCGCAGACGGTCACCTTTTCGGCCAAGTTCCGCAAGTGGACCGACATCCCGCCCGAGACCGTCGCCCATCTCCGCGCCGCGGTGGGCGTCGGCTACCTTGCGGCCGGCTCGTTCAAGTCGGCGGCGCGGGTCCTAGTCGACGTCACCGCCGCCCTCGACTCGGCCTTCAACTACGTGGCGACCATGGCCGACGTCGCGGTCTACGGCGCGCTCACCGCGCTCGCCTCGTTCGACCGTCACGAGCTCAAGAGCCTTGTCCTCAACTCGGCCTCGTTCAAGCCGCTTCTCGAGCTGGTGCCGGCCATCGGCGAGCTCGTGGCCGACTTTTACGGCTCGCGCTACCACGCGTGCCTCGGCGCGCTCGACAGCCTCCGCCTCCGCCTTGCGCTCGACCCGTACCTCGCGCCGCATCTCGACGCGCTCTACGCGGCCATCCGCTCAAAGGCCCTCATCCAGTACTTTTCGCCCTTCCGCTCGGTCGACCTCAACCGCATGGCCGAAGCCTTCTCCACCTCGCTCGACGGCATCACTGCCGAAGTCGCCGCCCTCATTGTCGCCGGTGACATCTCGGCCCGCATCGATTCGGAGAACAGCATCCTCTACGCTTCCCACACCGACCAGCGCGCTTCTACCTTTCACGCGGCGCTCAAGGCCGGGGCCCAGTTTGAGCGCCAGACAAGGGCCATGCTCTTCCGCGTCAACCTCCAGCGCGCCGGCTTTGTTGTCGAGCAGCCGCCGAGTGCCCGCGTACCGACCTCCGGCGCGGCTGGGAGCGAGTGACAACAGGTAAAAGGTCAGGTACAAGAACGTGTGTTAATGTGGATGTGGTTCGAGTGGCACAATGGCCAAGAGACTGCGAGAGGTGCGCCGTTGATCAGTAGCGTGTGCCTGTTGATGCGATGTGATGCGGTGAGTGTGACGAGACGGGAGAGGGAAAGGGGAAGGGGAGAAGGGGGGCAAGATTGTCAGAATCAAAGGTAGTCTCCACGAAGGGTCAGACATATGCTTGTCATTGATAAAGATCATCGTCCGATCTTGCATTTGCGAGAAATAAGGTTGGCCGGAAGACTCTATGATACTTACATGTCGCCAGGCGGTGAAACCTGTATCTCCTCGATCCACGCACGTCTCTGTTCCTGACTGCGGTTGCGTGCTTGCACTGGGAAGTCCTACTCTCACTGTACCGTTTGCAATGTAGCCTCGGTGAGTGCTGTGTCGTCATGACGAGGTGAGGGGGGGGGAGGGGGCAGGATAGAAGAAAGAAAACAATGTTCAACTCGGATGGTGATGCATGAATATCCTCAACGCACGATGTGCTCAGAAAGGATTCTATGGATATTAAAGCAATTTCGTCACTGTCAATGCTGTGCATGCACTGTGGGTGCAAGAGTGAGCCTGGCCGATCCAGAACGAGGTCTGTGGCGGGGGAAGGCTGCACGGGTCACAGCAGCTGCTGTTGCCTTGGGAGGGAAAGAAGGAGAACATACCATGAGAGCAAGACACGCAATGGAGTGCACGCGTGACCACCTGCCTCGACCAGTCGTCGGTCACCATTGAGTGGCGGGCGACGGGGCGGGTAAGAGGCAGACAAAGCGTCGGACAAAAGCCGGATGGAGGAATCCAAATAATTGGTCGCAAAGTGCTGGACACGACAAATGCGGAAGAGGGGCCGGGTGAGTGATAGAGCGGAAGGATGAGAGGCTGAAAAGCAAGAGCAGAATAGCAAGAGCATGGAGTTGGCAGCAAGGATGTTGGACAGCCCCGCTCGCTTGGGGGAGGTCAGGGGGGGGAGTGGGAGGCGGTGAAGGTGGAGCAAAAAATGCCTCCCAAGTGGCGGTCAGAGAATCATATTTGGTTTGTCTCATTGCAAGCGCTCTGAAGTAGCAAGTATTGTTTCACATCACACCGCCACTGCGTCCAAGAAGGATCAAGAGGAGGGAGCAAGGGTGGGGGGATGGGGAGAGGCCGAGGAGGGGGGTTAGGGAGGGGGGGGCGGGAGTGATGCAAACACATACAATTACGACATTGTCGGAGCTGAGAAAAGTGGTGCCGTCTGGGAAATGGATGGCTGGTCGATCGGTCGAGCTCGCCAAACCGGGTGAGTTTGGTACGACGCGTCGATCCGATCCGTCGAGCAAGTGGTTCGGAAATGCGAATGGGGGGCTGGCTTGTTTCCTCGTCTCTGGCTACCGTGGCTAGCCGAAAGTCGCGAGCCACGCGTTCATTGTGGATCGAGAGGAGAGGGGGGGCTCAACAGGAGCAGCCACCCGAGTCCTTCTTGGCCGGGGCACTCTCGCCGGTGATGATGCGGGAGGAGGAGGTGGTGGAGCCAGCGGCAGGCTTGTACTGGACGCCGACTTCGCCCTCGTTGAGATCGAGCGAGCCGTCCTTGATGTTCTTGTAGATGAGCTTGGCCGAGTCAAAGAAGGCGTCCTGGACACCGTCGCCGGTCCTTGCCGACGTCTCGAGGAAGAGCAGGTCGTTCTCCTCGGCAAACTTGGCGGCCTCCTCGTAGGTCACGTCACGCTGGGTCGAGAGGTCGCTCTTGTTTCCAATGAGCACAATGACAGTGTTCGGATTGGTGAGATTGCGGGCGTCGGTGAGCCATGACGCCAGGTGCACAAACGTCGACCGCCGTGTGATGTCGTACACCAGCAGCGCGCCTGCCGCCCCACGGTAGTACGACCGCGTCACAGACCGGAACCGCTCTTGGCCGGCTGTGTCCCAGATCTGCAGCTTGATGTGCTTGCCTAGCACGTCGATGATCCGCGTCCCAAACTCGACCCCGATCGTGTGCGTCGAGTCCGCCATGAATTTGCCCTCTGTAAACTGATGCAGGATGCACGACTTGCCCACGCCCATGTCGCCTGTTCCCACCACGCCACGCCACGCCATGCCATGCCACGCCGTGTAAGTCGTGTCGACGTCCTGTCGTCCCGCCGCGTCCAACCATACAGCACCGCCTCCCCCCCCCGTTCTCGCCTCCTCTCGCCCTCGCCCTCGCCCCCTCCCCCCCTGCTCCTGTCCTTCCTCTTCCTCTCTCTCTCTCTCTCTCTCTTCACTCCTCCCGCCC